AATAAAAAAATACTTTCTTATAGTGTTTTGGAAAGCCCTCAAGATAAACTACAAGAATATGCAATAAAAAGTAGGTAGTTCTATTTAAAAAATTGAATTGACCTTTACGTGACCTTCAAGCAACTATTCAAGGTGAAACTAATGACACCATCTTACGTACCCCTTGAAACCATACAACTTTGGTCTGGAACATTTTTTTCTAAAATGTTGCGTTTACGAATAAATTGGGCGATACGAATGGTCTGAGACACTCGGTATACTGTGATTTATTGTATGTACATATGTAGCATGTTCATAGGCCGGTATTCATAGTCCGTTCTTATTTCAAGATCATCTGAAATAATGGCTTAAGATGCTAATATACAGCTCTATGATTGGTCTACAACATCTTAAGACTGTATTTAAGATAGTCTTATATTAGAATGAATGAATATCGGACATAATAACGGAAATAGTTTAAATATATGCAAAGAAGGCATACTCCTTTTAAAAATATGTGTTAAGAAAAGAAACTTTGTATACGAAATTTCACTATAATGTCTATAATGTTTATTTCATTATAATGTTCACTATAATATTTGTCAAAACTACCTAATATAAACAACTGTAAGCTTATAAACTACAGGTTATACATATAGAATATACATATACATTGCTCTAAAGGTTAAAGGTTGAAAACAAATGTAATAAAGTATATAAAACGAAAAGAAAATATTTTGTTTTTTGATTTACAGTGAGAAATCACATTAGCGAGAAGTAATACTACTGCAAAGAAGAGTCAAGCGCTTTTGGATAAGGTCCCCATCACACTGGGTGTTCACACAAAATATAAGAAAGTACCGAAATTTTATTCAAAGTAGTTTTATTTGCAATAGTGTTACTGTCTATTAAGAAGAAACCATTAGGTTTTTCCTAAATTAAAAGCTAATAAAATAAAAGTTTATTATACTTGTTTCTCTTAAAGACGCACGTATTCTCATTTAGAACAAAAAAGATATATGAAAATTCTTGAAGTCTTTCTGCAAAATTAAAAACTACAAGTTACATTGAGACTTCTATATTGGAATAAAGTTTTACAATTTAAGTTTCTCAATATTTTATAATATATATGTAATAATATATTGCAAGAAGTTATTTCAAAAATATAAGTTACTAATTAGTCAATAATAACTATAGTCATTTGAAACGGAAATCAAAGTGCATTTTATTTTGTAGAAATGTAATTTTTATTTGAACTAAAATAATTATTATAAACAAAGAAATAAATCACAGTCTCTTATCTATTTTGAAAATTTATTTCTTATATTTATTAATTAAGAGGCTTTGTGTTATTCTTTGTTCATAATGATAAGTTTATTTCGGCTATACTTTCAAGGAATAAAATGCATTTTGATTTGTTTGTTTTAAACAACTGTACAAGGCATAATCGTATTTTTTAAATCACTTTTTTGAAATTATTGTTCCATGTACATTGAGGAAATCAAACATAAAATATAGAATAATGAACAAAAATATATAGTTAAAATGTAGAATAATGAATAATATAAAATATAGAATACTGGGAAAAACTAATTGTGCTTAGTTATCGACTTTGTTAAAAAAGATTCTCAAAACTTGTTTATAGATTTTGTCATTTTAGATCAAAATACTTTTCTCTCAAGATGAAAAGTGAACATACCTATTATATTCATTTTTCCTCTTAAGGGAAAAGTATTTTGATCCAAAATAACAACATTTATAAACAAGTTTTGGGAATCTTTTTTAACAAAGTGCTTTTTTAACAAAGTTAACATTATATTATTTTTTTTTTGTTTGCCTGGTTATATATCCAAATTTTTATTTGTTCAGGTGTACGGTTTCTTAATATTGGATATTTCAGTCTTGCTTCATTGATCTTTTTAAAAGATGGTAGTTTTTTATTTAGTCGGTAGTATTCTATGGCATTAGGAAATGCAGATAAAACCGCTCTACATTCATCGTTCGTCCATTGAACTTTAATAGTCCTTCTTCTTTTAATTCCAAAAGGAGAAACTAAAATATAATTAAAATATTGTTTTACTTTAGTTTTTTTAATAATAAACTTATAGAAAGAGTGTTACATATTCGAAAAGAAACGATAAAATAACTTTGAGTAGAATGGAATATAAATCTATTTAAACAACAGACTATATATAAAATATGTAAGAAAGATACAGATGTGTGATAAAATATCAGTTTACATTAAGATCATATTACTATCATATTATTATATTTCAATTTTTGTAAAATGTAATCAACTAATGTTTACAGACTTTGATAAATATTATCAAATCGGTTTTATGATAGCAAAAATATGCGCTTTTTTAAGGGTAAAACAAAAATATACGCTTTTAAAATTGTTCTCTTTTATAAATCATTCAATGAACTGATAATTTAAATAGCTCTTTAAAAATAAAAAATGTATTTAATATTTAAAAATTATTTAACATGTAATAATATTGTAAAAATTGTTTGGTGTTAGCTATAAAAATACTTAATGAATGTAAAAATTTCTATTTTTTTTTTAGACAATATTTATGTTATCTTTTCAGAGCTCAATCTAAAGTTTTTTTTATCTATTTAATTTTTCTATTTCAAACCTTACAACTTTTTATTACAATATAGATTATTTATTTTTTTATTCCTATCCATAACTGAAATATTTTAATTTCTTTTTAAAACAGTATAGTTTATATTACAGTTTTAAATACAATTTAAAAAATGTATTTTGTATATGTATATGAATAATAAATGTATAAAATATGCATACTTTTCCTCTTTTTTGTACTGGAAACCATATTACATTCATTGTCTGTTTCGTTTTCATTTTCGTGATTTGGTATTGTTTTGTAATGTACTGAAACAATAATAAATATAATATTTTAGTTTCAAAAGTTCTTATGTTAATTTGAAACACAATTAATAAAAAAATAATGCATATAAAAACGTTGTAGGATGTAAACTTACGTTTTCTTTTCTTTCTTTTTATAGTTGAATGTCTTTCATCTTTGCTTTCATCATGTGATCGCTGCTTTCTTTTTGATATTTGCTTTGACTTAGTATTACAAGTATACAGGTTTGAATCTTCGCTGTTTTCTTCTTCGCTCGATTTGTTACTTCCATTAATTTGATTACTTTCATTGCTTTTATCTGGTATGTTTTTTTTTTGAGTGTATTTACGTAACTTCGATATAACCAAAGGAGATGCTGCAATTAAATAAGTTTTCTAAACAAGCTTATAGAAAAAATGTGACATTGTATAAAAATATAAAAAAAAAGTAAATATGTGCGATAAAATATCAATTTATGATTTTAACCTCTGAAGATCATATTACCACTTTAAGTTTTATAGATTATAATTGACCAAATTATATTACAGACTAAACATCACAGACGCGCGCTACTTAGTTATTTAGCTACTTTTATTTTTTTACTTTTTACAACTAATATAAATATTGATCGCGTAATTACGATAACCTGATGTTTGTGAGCTGTCAAAATATGATCCCTGCGTTGATACTTAAGCGGGGAGCACACATTTCTGCATAACGCATAATGCATAATACATGAGAGACTGAACCAATCGGAGTCCTTCATTTTCATCGTGGGGATAGAAATGAAGTACTTTGATTGGTTTACTTCCTTATGCGTTCCATTATGCAGAAGTGTGTGTTCCCCACTTTAAGGTCTATCCAAACAAACTTGCATAGCGCATAAACATAAGCATAAAGGAATTGATTGGTCCATATGCATGGGCATAAGGAAATAGACCAATCCGTTTCTTTATGCACATGGTTATGCACCTATGCAAATTTGTTTGGATAGACCTTGACCGTAACACAAACTTTTGCATAACGCATAATTTTGCATAACGCAAGGTATCAACTAATCAAAATCCCTTGTTTCTAAGAACTGAATAAAAATGAAGAATATTGATTGGTTGATATCTTTATACGTTATGCATTATGCGTTATGCAAAAGTCTGTGCTCCGGTCTTTAAGCGGGGAGCACACACTTCTGCACAACGCATAATGC